AACTCAAGATCTTATGATTCTATATTTGTGATAGTAGATCGTTTCACCAAGATGGCACATTTTATGCCATGTACAAAATCTATCACAGGTGAAGAAACAGCTAAGCTTTTCATTGATAATATCTATCGCTATCATGGATTACCTAAAGATATCATATCGGATAGGGGAACTCAATTTGTGTCGAGATTCTGGAGGACTCTTTTCAAGATTTTAAAAGTGGACATAAAGCTATCTTCAGCTTTCCATCCTCAAACTGATGGACAAACAGAGCGCGTAAACCAAGTCTTGGAACAGTATTTAAGGTGTACCATCAACTACCAACAAGATGATTGGACAAACCTTCTGCCATTGGCAGAGTTTGCTTATAATAATACGGTACATTCTTCCACGCAACAAACACCTTTCTTTGCCAATTATGGCTATCATCCACGACTTGATACTTTTGATTTTTCAAAAGTTGATAATCCTGCAGCAGAAGATATGGCAAATCGGTTGTCAGAGTTACATGCAATAATGAAGGCGCAGTTGAAGAAAGCTCAAGAACGACAAAAGATAAATGCAAATGTATATCGTAAAGAGCAACCACAACTCAACGTGGGTGATAAGGTATGGCTACTTCGTCGCAATATCAAGACCACTCGACCTTGTGACAAATTGGACTATCGTAGGCTTGGCCCCTTTTCTGTTTCTGAACAGATCAACCCAGTTGCATATCGGTTACATCTACCGGAGTCAATGAAGATCCATCCTGTATTCCACGTGTCTCTTCTTGAACCATATAAGACAGTGGATATACAAGGAAGAAGACAAATGCCACCGCCTCCTATAGAAGTAGATAATAATGAAGAATTTGAGGTGGAAGAGATATTAGACTCAAGGCGGCGCCGAAATAAGCTGGAATATCTTGTTCATTGGTGCGGATATGATATTAGTGAGCGCACATGGGAGCCATCCAGGAATCTAGCAAATGCATCAGGTAAAGTCAAAGTTTTTCATCAACGACATCCATCAAAACCAAGATGAAAACCTCTCTTATAAAAGAGACAAGATTGAGGCAAGATAACATTCAATTTCCTATCCTTGTTTGTAACTTCTTTGCATTTTGTGACGCTAATTAGATGGAGAGCCAACAACCAGCGGATTCAACTCAAGAACCTTCGTTTGCTGACTTACCGGATGAAACATTGCGTTTGTCACAACCTTCAAGACGACGCAACCGAAATGAAGACCCTCAAGAACGACATGTTCTTCCTCGAATAGATGGTGAGATACAACGCGTTTGGTATCACGACCTTGGAAGAGATTCTCGATGTTTGGTGATATTATTGGAGATAGGAACGACTCCTGATGGTGTTTCAAATGTATTATTTGAAGGAAGTTATGAAGGCCTCAACAGTGATCAAATAATAGGGTGGTCTTCTCGCCCTGGAATGGGACACTATCGATGGCTAAGAGGACCCATCAACTATCTTCGAAGAGAACAAAGATCAGAGTATGTAGCAAATACAATTCGCCGCATATTAGATTTTCTCAATATATAATCACCGCTCCTCGTGGAACTCGTCCCTAGAAGGGGGGGTAATGTCGCGGACATACATATAATTACCTATATGAATAGATAAAAGTATGTAAAAGTAGGTTAATTGTGTAATATCTTCTAGAGAAGCTTCTTAGAAGCTTCATAGACGCTGCTTTGACTTTATAGGAGTCTATAGTTGACTTTTAGGTTAAAAACTTGGTCAACAAGTTAGCCATGTGCCACGCATGTTGGAAGCTTAAAGAACAAGCTAACTACGTGGTCTATCCATAGAAAACTTGCCTTGCAAGCAAAGGCATGTGGCCTAGAAAGTCAACATATATTGGAGGTCTTATAGAACATCGCCACGTGGCTTCTAGTTAGATAGTATATATAGAGGCAAGAGTGAAGCCCTCTTCACTCTTGTCAACTCCTTTCTTGCTTCTAGTCTAGTTTCAAGGGTCTCTAGTTTTCTTGTATTTTGGCAATAGCCATTCCAGTTTCTTTCTTAATATACATATTTCTATTTTGTCCTATTTCTTTTTGAGAAAAGTCTCACTTACTCTTTAGCTTTCATCGAGTTCTTGTCCCTGACACTATAAGACTTGATTTGATTGTTGTTGCATTTCTACTTACTTTCTATAGCTAAATATTGTGTGCATTCTCAAGCAACAACACATATAATACAACACGGTCACAGTATATGATACTATCAATGGCTGAAAGGCCCTATCAACTACCTTTGAAGGAAACAAATATTAGAGAATGTTGCAAATAAAATTTATTGCATCTAAGACTTTTTCAGCATGTGATCATTGCATCTTGTGGAACTTGTCTTTCAAAGAAAGAAGTAATGTCATGAACACCCATATTTATTCTAATAATTATTCATATAATATTGGTAGATAGAAGTAGATAAAATAAATAAATTTGATAATATCTTATAGAAAAGCTTCTTAGAAGCTTTATAAATGTCGCTTTGGCTTCATACATGTTCATAGATTATTAATAAGTTGAAAACTTGTCCAATAAATTAGCCATGTAATGCACATATTAGTGAGTTGTGATACAAGTTGGACATGTGGTATACATATAAGCTTATCTTGCAAGTTATATAAGTGTCATATGAGTAGGATACGTGTAGAAATTCTTGTAGAATGTTGCTACAAAATTCCTAGTTAAATAGTATATATAGAGGTAAGAATAAGGCCTTCATCATTTTTGATAATTTCTTTCTTAATCCTAATCTAGTTTCAAGAGTTTCTAGTCTTTTAGTCTTTAATAATAGCTATTTTAGATTCTACTCGAATATAAATATTTTTTTTTTCATTTTTTTTCATCTTTCTTTGAGAATTGTCTCATTTATTTAATTATATTCTCTGAATTCTTGTCCTTGATAGAAGAATAATAACTTCTATAATATCTTAGCTTTAATATAATTAATTCATAGTTTTGTAAAAATTAGACTTTATTAATTTTCTATATGAACAAATTTTGTTTCTTTCTAGTTTATGAATAATAAGGAGCCTTCTAAATTTTAGCCACCAAACTATAAAGGTATTATACCACCTTTTATTAAACTAGAAGTTTTTACTTATTTAGAATCCAAATTTTATAATTTTTAAGTCTAAAGAGTTGCAAAAAAAAGACCAATCTTCACTCATATCTTATAGAATTGGTTCTATAAACTAAAAAAAAAATAACTAGAATAAATCAAATCCTTTTATAAAATCTAATGATAAATTAGCATGGTTTTATTTTTCAATAAAAATAAATAAATAAATAAATAAATCTAATTAATTGAACCTATTAGACCTCTTAACATTTGTCCTAAGATTTAAGAATGGTGGCTATATCTCTACCTTTGAATCTCAAAGAATCCAAACTAAGTTCCACAATCTTCATTGATTAAAGGATCAATATCCGAAATCAAATTGTTGGCTATCAAATAAGTCTTAAAAATATTTTTTTTTGGCCAAGCTAACTTTACCATTGCATTTAAAACACATTTTCTAGTAAGAATTGACTACTCATATGTCTTAATTCATAAGAATTTGTAACAATTATGAAGATTAAAAATATGGCAATATAGATTATATTTATTTCACTCCTAAATTTCTTCTAATCTACTTCTAACTTACTTATGACACTCTTATTGACATAATTAGATTAAAAAAATAATATAACTAAGAAATGATAATAAAAATAATAAGAATTAAAACTATATCAACTAGTGATCTATTTATTATATTTACAAAGTATAAAAGTAATTTTTAAATTATTATATGAAAGTAGTAGTAAGTTGGCTTTTTACATTATATACTTATATGAAAATTATATAAATTATAGTATTTTATAAACATTGAAATGGAACATTTTCTTCTTCTTTTTTTTACATAATAATATTTGATAGTTTAAAAAAAATCTTCAAATACTATAGCCTATGCTTAGAAGATTAAAAAGAAAATTAAACTTTATAATATTATGTGTGTTTTTTATTGGATTCTTATTTGGTAATGATGTGATATTAAAATTAAGGCTTATTATAGACATATTATTTCAACTATGTGACTTTAATATCATGTAATTTGAAAACTTAAATCTACAAAAAAAAACTATTTTCTCTTAGAAATATTTTTTTATTACATTCAAAGTAAATATTGCAATACTTTAATCTTCCTTATCTTGGTTTTTGTTAAAACATATTACAAATTTAATTCTTTCTTGTTTGTGATTATTAACTTAATTTACTCAAATTTATTTTTTATTTTTACAAGTTTCACTATTGTAATTTGACATATTTTGTATTTTTTATTTTATTTTATTTTTTAATTTATATGATTTTTTCTAGGAGAATATTTAAATAGATTCAGACTTTTACTAAATTGACCTACTCATCCTAACCATCATGAAAGACAAAAATGACTTCTAATTTCATTTTTCTACTACCAGATCTGCAACCAATGAAAACTAGCCACACTCATCATAATTATTTTATTCTTAGGTGGGTTGTTTTGGTAAAAGCCTAGGTCTATTTAACATGCCTCTTTTTCTAAGTATCTAGTACTTAGTAATAATGTCCACCTTAATTTCATTCTGTTGTAAGCAGGACAATCTACCCAGTGGCAAAATTGTTTACAAGGCTTACTATTACTTGACTCATAAATCTGTAACATTGATTCTATTATTTTCATTTGAAAGGCAACTTTTAAGCTTGGATTATTTAATGCAGCGCCAAAACTTTTCAAGTTCCTTTTAATGGAGTTGACAGAATAATCAAGCCTAATTATGGAGCTTAGCTCAAGCAATTACATTGTAAAAAACCATCACGGCATATTCTACAAATAGCCGTTGGGTATCTTTGTGCAGGATCTTGTGTTTGAGGAAATTATAATGAGAAGCTAAATTAGGAAAGTTGAGATTGGGATTTAATAAAAACTCATCAACATGAACAATAAGTTTTAAAAAAAATATTCTAAAGCAATTGGCAACCATACATGTTTTTATTAAATTGTTCAAATTGTTGATGTATAAACATGCTTTCAGATAAATAACATGTTTTTGTGATAAACACTGGTAATATTCAATAAAATATGTTTTCCAATTTACATATAATTTGATTCAAATCACGCACGTGTTCCTACATGTGCTCTAACTTGATCAACCGACTGAATATTGTAATGTTTATACAAAGAAAAATCAGTTTTATGAGAAACTGGGATCGGTCACATCTTCAATGCCATCCTTTACAGTCAAAAGGGACAGAAAAAATGAAATGCGAGGTGGAGAACGAGTGCAGACGCTCCATCACGAAGGGGATGATCCGTTTTTGTACAACGCCGCACGCAGACGCGGGGTGGCCAGAACCTGCAGAGGCGCGGCCATGAAGGTCACCACGCCGGGGCGCTCCGTCATGTCGATGGCCGCAGGGGTCACGCCCGGCGGCGGAGCCCAGGAGAAGTGGTGCAGCAACCTGGCCAGCATCAGCTGCACCATGTTTAGTCCCAGTTGCGCCCCCGGACACACTCGCCGTCCCGCTCCGAACGGCAGCAGACGGTAATCGTGGCCCTTGATGTCAATGTCCTCCTCCAGAAAGCGTTCCGGGCGGAATCGCAAAGGCTCCTCCCAGACGGTAGGATCGCGTGAGATTGCATACACATTGCAGTGCACGACTGTGCCTTTCGGGACATCGTACCCGCCGATCTTCACGGTCTCTGTCGCCTTGTGCGGCAGCATCAGAGGCGTTGGCGGATGCAGTCGAAGTGCCTCCTTCGCCACCGCCTGCAAGTAGGGCAGCTGGCTGAAGTCTGCTTCCGTCACTACTCTGTCTTGACCCACCACCTGCCATTGCAGCACCAATATTCAGATTCTCGCCGTACTTCCTCGATCAGATGCGAGCGGAGTTCACATTGCTGGCCATAACAATAATAAAAATACTTATTCTGATCATTTCCTCACCTGATCCAGCTCTTGTTGTGCTTTGACTTGAACATCCGGATTGCGAACTAGCTCGGCAATGGCCCATTCCACCGAAATAGCGGTAGTATCCATGCCTGCCGTGATCATATCCCAGAGCAACCCGATGATGGTGGTCTCGCTCAAATCATACTGTTTCTGCATGGACAATAATGCGTCTACAAAGTGATGGCCAGGGCCATTCTTCTGACTCTGCAGCCGGTGCTCCTGCATGATGGCCTTGGTCAAGTTATCTCTTCTCGCACCATGCTTGGCAAATTCCTCCTCTTGCAGCGGAAACATCCACCTCAAATACGGTATGTGCTCCGACATCTTCAGCGACGCGCCTAGCTTCATTCCTTGCGATACAATCTCCTTGAATTCTACACCCTGGTTATCGATGTTCCCTTTGTCGTCCACAAACCTCTTCCCGAACACAATGCGGGTGATGTTGTTGAATGCCATTGCTGATACGTATTTCTTCAGATTCAGAGGTCTAGAATCTGCACAATCCTTGAACAAAGCTGCCACCATGGCTCCCACCTCGTCCTCTCGCACGGGTTTCAACGACTCAAGCCTCTTAAACGTGAACAATTCCAGTGTGCATACTTTCCTTACCTTCACGTAGTGTGGGCCATAGTCAGCCCAGATGAGATCCTGCCCGTTTCGGCTGAACCGTGCCGCAGCTCGGGTGAGTGGTCTAGATGACAGAGCATGGTCTCTTTCTTTCAGCATCTCTTTGGCAGCGTCCGCGGATGATACTACCACATTGAGCGTCGGCCCCATCCACACCGACAACACAGAACCGTAGGTTTGAGCCCACTCCATGAAACATTTAAAGCGCACAGGAGTAATGTGCGTGAGGTTTCCAACAACAGGTAGTGGCCGTGGTCCGGGCGGCAACTTGTGCGAGCTCCTTAAAGACTTGTACATCATAAAGAGCAGCGCTGCTACAATGGCTGCAACCGTGTAGGTGTTCTCCCACATGACTGCCATTGCGGTGGCCTTTGACTTGCTAAGACAATCAACAACAGAAGTGTACCCTTGTTTTGCAATGTGAAGCGGTTGACCCAACCATCAATGAGAGTGACATGAAAATTATGATTTTGTGCTCTACCCTACAAGCTTAATTACACAGAGATTTTGCTGCCCTAGGAAACTTTGTGTAAACTCAGAAACTTGAAATGCAGCAAAGAATGTCAGTCTCACTGAGAAAGACAATCTCGAGGAAGCTAATTTAGGAGGATTGTCAGCATTTTGGTGGCCATGCTTACCTGACAAGGGGTTTACAGAAGAGAGTGTGGCATGAGACCAAGTGCAGCTGCAGAGGGAGACATCTACAAACTCCCTACAACACGACCAGCTGAAATGCGCCCTCAGAGGAAGCCAGAAGCAAGTCCAGAAGTAGTGTAGGTGTCCTTCAACTCGAGATAGCAGCCTCATCTCATCTGCACAGGGCAAGACCGAGAAAATATCCTCGACGTGGACGAGGAAGAGAAGAGGAGAGAGTGAGCGGGGAAGCCGGAAAGAAACCCTTTCTGGTGTCTGCAACGAAAGCATTGAAAGCGACATCAATGTAGCAGGTGAGTAGGTGCAGCCCATTGAATGGGCCCTGTCACCATCTCACCACCAGCATTGACCTGGATCACACGGCAAGTGCCGAGTCTCGCCTGCTATCTCCACTGCCATAACACAATGGCCTCTCGCTGTACAGAAGTATTAACTCCCAAGGAACTCCATTAACGACTTAATATGGCTGTTTGTCTTGTCATTCCATTATTGGAATATACATTAATCAAAACATAATGAACTAAATGATTTTTTTTGTAATTTGTATGAGCACTTACATGCATTTACAATAGGTTTACATGTAAGTGCTCATACAAATTACAAAAAAAATTGGGCAATTTTATCGGACACGAAGTGTTGGATCCTGTAGGATATAGACAATTAAGCATTGTTTTGTACATTTATTTTTGTTGTGAAAGTTAATAATTCTTGGATATCATAGGATATTATTTTCTAAGTAACATTTTCACGGTAATATGTATTGTCTAAACTTTTAAGGTCATCTGCCTTGACCAGAATGATGCCTTAAGGATATCAACACAAAACATTATCGTTTCAGCGGTTTGGATTAGATATTTGATTGGCATTAGCAAAATTACCACTAAAAAATAAAAATAAATAAAAGTAATTGGTCCAAGCCTTGAGGTTGATTTGAAGAAATACTAATCAAAGTAAAATTCTGTGTTTTGATCGATTCAGTTTTCAAAAACTTCAGGTATTAAGTATTTATAAAATTTATTTTTATATTATTTTTTGTTGAGTAGAATTGTCTTTTATGTTTGCAGAAAATATTATTGTAGAAGACATGAGACAAAATATTAAAAAAATCCACAAATGGATAATGTTATTATGATTAAAAATATACATCTGTATTAACAAAATAAGATGAAATAAAAGATGCTGGAAAATGTGGTTACGATATTTCAGAGCAAAAAACAAGGTCTCAACTTGCATAACTTCATAAATTATTCACTTTAGTCTATTTTTAGGGTAAATTGGTAAGAAATTAAATTTAATATTAGTTTAGTGGACTAAATCTAAATCGAAATTCCCTTGTACTACAAGAGAAATCAGATTGGAAGCAATACAAGGTATTAATTTCTATAATAGAATTGTTTACATTGACATACATCACAAGATTAATACAATAAATTGGATCAATTGATGCATAATAAATAAAAACTTCTCATGAATATATGTATAATTATATATATATATATATATATATATATATATCCAAAGATCGGGTCTATTGATAATCAACGTACTAGATTTGGTCCTATTTTCTTTTTAAAAGATTGAATTCTTCAAAATTAATAACAGAATATTCATCTTATAATTTTTTTTTTACTATGTATATATACAAATATGAATATAAATATACTTTGCAAAGATAAGAAAAAAATATGTTAGAAAACAGGTGCAATAAGAAAAAAGTGTTGCAATTGAAAAACAGTTGTGAAACAAGTTTGAAGGATCTTAGCAAACATGAAACAAATCTGGCAACAAGTGGACACTGTCGCGATTGCAGTCGGGGACTGCGACACTGTCCACTTCCCTCCCTTCCTCCTTCCTTTCTGACAACCCCCGCACCCCCCACCTCCCTCTCTGTGTCTGTCTGTCTGTCTCTGTATGTGTGTGTGGGCGTGCGCGCGTGTGTTGGGACTTCTTCTCTATCCTAATCTAAGCCAAAGTGGGTCGCCAGGGGTCACGCATGCTCACATGCCGAGCCCTCCTCCCTCCACCCCGGTGCATGCCCGCCCTTTGCAAAGCCCCTTTGTAGTGCCTCCACCTCTCTCTCATGGCTATGAGTATCCCACAGCATCGACACAGAGAAAAAAGTAAACACACCCATTTCATGCACAGCCAAGTGACAGATTCTATTGCAGAGGCCTTCTTGACAGAGTACAATCATTTACGCCCGTAATTTATGCAACTCATTCATGGTTTTGGACATTGTCTGAATGCCGCTCCAGGCCATGGGACCCATGGACAATCTCCGCTAAACGTTATACCTGCAACACGTCAACGCAGAGCAGACAGAAGGAAGTCAAGAGCGCTGTAGTCCGCAGCTCGCATGGCGCACTCATCAGCATTGTGGTTGCACGGCGAAGAGCATGTGTCGTCGCTTTCGGGGGAATTATGGCCGCACGACGATGTAGGCCACGTTCGTGAACATGCGTCGAAATGGTGCTTAGCGCCTGCGTGAGCAAAAAATGCGATGGATTTCGCGTACTGGATGGTTGCCAAATTCTTTCGGGTTACGCAGTTCGTATAGAAAGGATCGCACTCTCCGATATGAAGCTGCATAGGTCGGAACGGCCGCCAGAAACTTTTGGTCACCGAAGGGCCAAATCCTAGATTGACACCACAACCTGGGTAGAAAGCCACCGAGCAGACGAATTTGTGGTCGGATTCTGGCCGTGAGACGTTGCTCAAGCGGTCGGTCTCAGCTACCTCCACCATGACTGATGCAACACGTTAAATTGTGAGATGTTGAGGTTGTAGCGAGAGAGCACAGACTGAAGGACTGTGATATCAAGTAGTGAAAATTATTTCGGCATTAGGGTAAAGAGAAACATGCACCTGCTTGGGCGCCGTGCGACCAACCGAGGAGGCCAATTTTCGAGCCGTCGATCTCCTGCATGGCATTGAGATAATCCCATACCGCGCGGGCATCTTGGACGCGTTCTGTGTAAGGATTGACAGCACCAGCATAACGCCCTGCATTGTCAATGCACTGATTCTGCCATTCCTCGCTGCTAGTGATGCTGGCAGGCTGGCGGGGTGTGAAGCTGTCCACAGCCAAAGCCACGATGTTACTCTCCGCCAGCTTTTTCCCCCACTTATCGATGTTGTTCTGCAAATTGGGAGTGCCATCGCGGTTGGTAGCGCCCACAACCCGCTCCGACCAAATGCCACTGCAGCCATGCATCATCACCACAGCGGGGTAATGGTTGAGGAGAGCAGCATTGTAGCCTCGCGGTTTGTAAATGACCCCCGACAACTCTCGAATGCGACTTCCATGTCCAGCAGGAAACGAGATCCTATCTGCGGTAATGATCTGCCCTCGCGTGCTCACAGATGCCACGCACACGAGAATGCCCGCCACCAACGCTGTCAGGGGCGAGGAGGATGATTTTGTCCGCGCCATGGCGTTGCACCAATTCGTCTTGATATTCCTCGTCCGCGTTCGCCCAGCACGTCGATGATCCCCACTCGCTTCGATGATTCCACATTAAATCACACGGATTCATTCTCCGAAATTAGATAGGCCGCCCCTCTGCACTATCATACACACATTCTACACGCACATGGTTCGTCCCCGGCAACGAGTGATCTCATGCGGAGTGAGCACCAAAACGCATTTCTCCACATTGTCTGCCTGCTGCAACGGCGCAAGCATATATATACGAGGAAGCATTCGGATGGGACATGTGCCGAAGGAACCGGAATTATTGATCCATTGACAATGTCCGAGCATTGAGGGAATGCACAATCGCAACGCACTGGTGAAGAATGGACCTGTAAAGTGGGACCGGGCTTAAATTCATGCCTATCCAGAGGATCTAATTACGGATGGCAGTGTCGCAGCAGGCAGCAGGCAGCAGGGCAACTAGTAAAAGCCGAGGAACACGCCAGATGGGTACGAGTGTCAAGACAGAAGACCATGCAATCCACGCTCCTGATGGTCTGTGACATGATAACAACGCATGGGAACAAGTCCCCTCGTCCTCCTCCTCCCACTGCACGACAACGCTCACCCCCACCACCAGCACCCCACTTCCCTCCCCTTCCTGACTCTCCTGGCTCTCTCTTTGTTGCACTCCTTACCCTCCCTCCCTCTCGCTTCCCCCTTCCCTTCCCTTCCCTTCCTTCCGTGAGACACTATGCTTGGCACAGCAGTAGTACAGTCTGCAGTGCTTGGATAATGTCCCACCTCAAGCTCCCCACAGTGCCTTGCCTTGCCTGTGTTGACACCAGCAGGGACCCCAACGACCCTATCCCACCAGCACTCTCACTTCCAATGCTCTCACCCTTGCCACTTTCCCAGTTTAGAGGTCAGTTTTGGTAACAATGAAGAAATTCTGTGACAGAAAGTGTTAACCAGCATCATAGAATCTCTCTGTGCTTGTGAGGTTGTATCCACTTCTAAACTTGCATAAGTTTTAAATTGTTCCATTCAAACAGAAGGCCGTAACTTTATTGCATCAAAAGTTACCATCATATACATTTTTTTGTGCACGAATCTTTTTGAACACAAGTTTGTTGGACACAATCTTTAATGACTTTTTAAAATACATTTTGTTTAAAAATAAAATCTCGTTGTAATATTTTAAATGGAGATGCTTGTCGTCACAAATAATTTGTCAATGCCCTGACTGCCCACATTTGAGACCACTCATTAATTGCAAGTAATGGAATCCTATATTTTTTTCATTGCCTGCTAAGTCAAAGCCAGACTCAGTGACAGTATCTATATATATATATATATATACATATAAACCTTCCTAGGCTTATTCTGCGAAATTGGTGACCTCATGAGAATGAGAAGTAAATTCAAATTACAAGGCACTCAAACGACTCTGCACATGACTTGGTCATGCAGCAGGTGTTTTATAAGTGATAATGGTAATAATAGTAAGCAGGTTTGTCTGTGGGCAACTCAGACACTAATTAGAAAGCTCCATCAGACCCTCGCCTTCCTTCCTTCCCACCTACCTTCCTACCTACTAACTCATTGTCTTTCCTTCTATCATTGCTACCATCACTCTCGTGCCTCAAGGGGGAGGCACTAAGGAGATGGTATTTTCTTGCCATGCTACATCACAACTGCAGGCAAGGCAGGCAGACAGTTAAGTTTTAGTTTTTATCAGCAAGAACAGGCAGTCTCAACAGCATCTCTCTCTCTCTCTCTCTCTCTCTCTCTTTTCCATCTGTGGTTAGTTGGAGAATTCACTCTGCATTCATGGGCATTTTGTTGGCATGCTACATTCCTTTCCTCTTACTTTCTTTTAATTTATTTTAATTTAATTTTTTTCCTATTTAGATAATGAGAGTTGCCATGTAGCAATATCAGCTCTTCTGTCCCTCCCAAGTGAGGCCATGAACTCCCAAGTGCGGCCATGAACCAGGTTACACCCAAAGAAAGGGAAGTTGAGGAGAAAATGCACATCAAGTGCATGTGAACATGAGTCAACCCCAAAACAAACATAATAAATAGAAATAAATAGATAATTCATTCCATCAAAAAAATTGAAATGATTATATTTATGCATTTATCAATGTGATTTTTATATTTTCTATTTTTGCATCAGCTTTGAATTTTTTTTGAACACATTTTCAATAAATCATTTTTTCAAAGAGCACATATACTAATGAAAGTTGAATTTATAACTAAATATTTGAATTAAAAAATTCACACAAAACTAATAATTTACAATGAAATTATCATTGGTACAAAATTATAAAATACATAAATTTTGATTTTTTTTAAATATTATAAATTTAAAATAATAAAAAACAAATTCACAAAAAAATCCTTTACTTAAGTGTATATGTATAATGCAAATACAATGAACAATTTTTTGAAGAAGATAATAACATTTCATTTTGTTTGATACATTTGATACTCTTTTGTCATTGATAAAACATTATTGTAACAATACTTTCATAAAGAGACTTATTTTTATTAACTTTCAATTAAATCTTCTTAGAAAATATTACAACTTGCAACCAAGTATAGTAGAGTTGGTCAGTAATAATAACAAACTTATTATTCACTATTCAAGTAATAACATTACTTATGCTATATCATTATAAGTTATGATGGATTATATTGTTTGATTAAATATAAATAATAAATATCATAGAGATATATATTGATATTAGTAATTGCTAAGATAAGAAGAATTAAGTAGAAGTAAATAAAAGTAGATAAATTTGATAATACCTTCTAAAGAAGCTGCTTAGAAGCTCAATAGATGTAGATTTAACTTTACAACAATTTAGAAGTGATTAATAGGTTAAAAACTTTGCCAATAAGTTGGCCACGTGTTGCATATGATAATCTTTTGTTTTAAAAGTTGGCCACATATCACACATATAGGCCACTTGTAGTATAAATTAGATATGTGTCTTCCAAGTTGGATACATATTGGATGATGTATAAAATGCTTCCATGTAGTTTATTAGTTAGACAATACATATATATGTAAAAATGAAATCTTCTTTATCCTTGTCAACGTCTTTCTTATTTTTAACCTTATTTTAAGAGTCTTTAGTCTTTTGGTCTATACTAATAGTCATTCTAATTTTAATTTAATAACTATTTTTGAATGCTAATATATTCTTTTTTAGTGACATAAGAATATATCAATTTTTTGATTATTTTATGATTTATGTCCTTTGTAATAAGCTATTTATTCAAGAATTAGATTTTATTATTGCACCTCTTGAATCTTATCTATTTATCATTGTTACATCAATATATAGCAAAAAGTTTATTTTCAATTGCACCAAGTAGCTATTACATTTGATTTTTTTATTGATTAAGAATTATTTTACACAAATTTATTACTATTATAAAAATCTTTAATTTTATAATTTTAATATTTTTGTTGGTCAAAAAAATCTTTATTTTTTTGATTTTTATTTAAATAACTAAATCAAAGAAGCATAGATTAAATTTAATTGATCTATTTTTAACAAAAAAATAAATTTATATATGTGGCCATTAAAAGAATTGCTATAAGTATATCAATATAGACTTTGTTTAGTTTGTAATGCATTATATCAAACTACCAACATTAACTATCATTATATATAGACTTTATTTAATTGCAATGCATTGGTATTAAAGAATTTATTGGTATTTGTTAAAAAATAATTTTAATCTAATGATAGTATCAATTTTTATGATTTAGATTATTTGTACAAAAAATATATTTTTTGGATCTTTTATCAATAACAATAATCGATGATAACCAAATTAAATATCCAAAGTTCTTAATACTTGTGAGAATCTAACAATATTACGTAATTATTTTAGAACTTAGTTTAAATATTGGTTTGATTTTATCTTTTAAAGAATCAAATAATGATTTATACATATATTTTTTATCCAATTTTAAAATATATAATTTTAAATAAAAATAATTATAATAAAAGCATATTTGTCAATAGATAGTTTAATTAAATCTATAGTTAATAATTTTTTACATCAATTTTAAATACCATCTTTTTTTAAGATATTAAATTTTTCAGATTGCCAAACTATTAGAGAATCATTTTCCAACTATAGGATTTTAGGCTTTAATTAAGTTCGTTTTGATAGTCTTTAAGATTCCTATAGCTAAAAAAAATAAAAATATAATATAAGTGAATGAAAATTCATATAATTTTTAGTTTTATATTTTTAAAATTTATTTTTAACTCCAATAGCCAATCATCTAATTTTATAGTCTTTATCTTTAATAATAGATAATTATTACATACATGCATAGCATTTAATAAGTAATTTATAGAAGAAATAACTTCTTACATATAATGTCTTTAATTGTGATCAAATGAAGGGCTTTATCATCATTATTTTAATATAAGTTGGTATTATCTATTCAAAGTTATTATACTTGGATGCAAAGATATTATCTATCCAAGGAGCATATACTTGCTATGATTAATATCTATCCAAATATTTTAATAACAAGGCATCATGGGAGCAGTAAGCAAGCATATAAAGCATTATTACAAGGCCATAAAATTTAATAGAATTTGCAATAAGATAGAAGGATACTTAAAGGTAAAAAAAAAATATTTATTCAAGAATCAAGAAGTAATACAATATGTAGTAAGTTCTACATACTATCACTATAAATCATGCTAGTATTGGATTGGAGATTGTGCAATTTTTATTGAGTAATAAAATATATATATATATATATATATATATATATATATATATATATATATATATATATATTTAATTATCACATATATCAAATCCAATCTTATAAGATTCTATCTTGTTGTTGGATTAGAGAAAAATTGACTCAAGAAAACGCTGGGCTTCTCACTGTCACAATTTTTTTAATTAAGCTTCAAAATAAGAAAAGTCATATATATATATATATATATATATATATATATATATTTTGAGCAATTACACCAAACACATAAGTTTCAAGTAACCAATAACACCTAAAATATGATAAAATCTTCTAAACCCTTGTATATCCTTATGTAGAAAATTTTCCGAACTTCAATACCTCATATCTTTCAATTGGACCGTTCAAACATACTCAAATTTACATGAAGTACTGATGTACTTCTAACAATTATTACAATAAATTTTAACTGCAAATTCATTGTGGAACTTAAGATATCACCAAAACTTTAACAGTAGCTTCAAATCCTAGTTTTTATACACCTACATGTAATTTTCTTCATATTTTGCAAACTAAGCACTCAAATACCAAAAAATTTGTATGTTTAGCTTTTTAACACAATAACCTACCTTCT